TGAACAACAAATCAAAATAAACACTCAGAACTGAGGCAACTTTTTCTGCGAGCTGCGCGCTGACTCTGAAAAGTATGCTTCAAAAGCTGTATTTCCATTTAAGATGAGTTAAAAGTTGTTGTGGCCGTGATTGTATTAGCATATTGTTTTACTTCAATGGAGAGCTGCCGGGAATATATTCAAGGTGTGTGAAGTCAACACAACACATTTATTTAAATGAATCATGAAAATTAAGCGTAACTGCGTAAGTCACGGTCGTAGTTAGGGAGACGCGCGAGATGTTGATAAGACAAAGCGTGGAATAGAAAGACAAATAAAACTATAAATATAGGAGTTCTCCCGGCCTGTTCCTTTATCCTCGCTCATCAGTCGAGAGGCAGAACTTATTTACATAAGTGCCGGCGCACGTGTTTGATATTTCGTTTAGTTTTATGCCTGGCACTACAGTCACATCCACGCACACAAGTATATTTGCACATACAGACAGGATCCCGTTGATAATTCAATAAACTAAATAAGATTCTGCACAAGATTTATGGGTTTGCTGAACCCACACGTTGGACCCACAAACAACTGAGTACAGGGCCCAAAACCACGCTGAGAGGTTTATAAATCTTCATTTCAACACACACCACAACACACACACGCACACACACACACACATATATATACGTCCGCTCACATCTTCATCTTTAGCTACAGCTTCGAGTGACATCATTGCCAAGTGGGCTTAGATGTGGAGGCAGTTGGCGTGCTTATTAAAATGCTATCTGTACGACGGCGCCCAATTTAAAATTGGCTTTCATAATGAACGGCACGCAGCTGCTCCACGAATTGCCAACACTTATGCTCAATAAATGCCCATAAATTTGTGGCACAATGCGCGCTACGGGCGAGCCATTAAAATGCACGAGCTATGCCACAAGGTGGGCAACAGACAAATGTCAAAAATAAAATATACTCTCTTATGTATTCTCAGCTGTGCGCTTGTGTAAGTATCGTAAATCTGTGTATTATTTTCGCGGCATAACGTTGTGCTATATATATTTGTTTTTTTTTTTGTTTTTTTTTTTGAAAATCCAAATATTTGTGTTACACGCCACGCCCACTCGCAGCTGTGCCGCACTTTTGTAGCCGCTGGCTCTGCAGCCTCGTGCCTTAACGTGTACACATTAAATTGATGGCCAAAACGGCAACATTTGCCAGGCAGCCAGAATTGATTAATTGACAGTTGACTCAGCGGCACTTTGGAGAGCTCACAGTCACAGCTCACTTCTGTGTGTGTGTGTGTAGGTGTTGGTGTTGTTTTGACTTCAGCTTTGCCTAATGCCCAGCATTTTTTATATGTCAATAATGCCAATTGCGTCTATTCGGCTTTGGCACATTACACAAAACTGCATTAAATTTCAGTCCATTAGACATGTCGCAATTTTTTGGCCAACCACCACAACTGGCCTAAATTTCTTTGGACATTTTCTATCTGCAGTTTACGCATCAGTGACTGCATTGCTTGACGCTATCGCAGCATGCAAATTAACATTGTTCAATTTGGCCATGCAAATGAGCCAAGTTAAAAGTGTGAGCAAATATTTCCATCAACACATAAATAGAGACCGATGGAGAGCGTTGGGAATTGAATATTTAACTCTTAGGGTAACTCCTCTTTTTGCAGTTTGTTGTCGATTTTAGCTTCTAATTGTGCAATTTCCTTTCGGTAATTGACTTTTGCATCTAACCCCACTCGCTCGAACTGTGCGAATCCAATCCGAAGCCATCGATATAACTGCATAGCATGGAGCAGGCCTCCTCAAATCTCGACAGCTAATTGCAAGCTACTGACATTTGCAATTACATATGTGATTTGATGTGAGAGCTCAAACAAAACTGAAAAACCTCGCCATTTGCATAATTCTAACTAAACTCGACAACGGCATTGGAATACTTGGGCACGTCGAGGGCATTGAGTGCGTTAAGAGCAAAATGCACAAATTGTTGTTATGCAAACGCATACTCATAAAACGTGACATTTGACGTGAGGTTGAATTTCAGTCAAGGCATCGACTGCCCATAAATACATATGTGTGTAAATGTTTCAGCACACACACACATATATATAAGTACTTTTTGTAGAAACGGTGGCAAAACTCAAAATGAAACACAATTTACATATATTGATGTGAAGGCAGGTGGTTACAGGTGACGGGAAGCGGGTAACGGGAAACGACAGAGCTAAAAGTGTGTAGATTTTTATGCGCACTCACTCACACATGCGCATACACTGCCACGCCCACTGTTAGTATGTCAAGTCAGAGTGTTGTAAAGGTAAACCAAGCGACCTAAGCCTAATCTGCATAATAATAAACCACACTCACCCACACACACGCATACAGAGACTCAATTTCGCTTACAAAATGTACCAAATTGCCACCTTAACAGTCGCAGTCCTTCCCGTCTCGTCCTGCAGACCTGAACTTGCCCACTTGCCATATTTAATATTGTGTAAATTGAATTTCCATCACTTTATGATTACTTGATGCTTTCAGACGGAAATCTAACGGACACAGGCGCCTCGGTCCAACAACTCAACTCAATTGACTTCAGATCCATGGAACAGGATCTAAGTTACGAGTTAAAGCACTCCAAATACCCTCAAATAGTAAGAGAATAGCAACGATTAAGCTTGAAAACCTCAAAATATATTTCAAAATTTCATTCAGGAACTCAGTTTTCTGTATCTATTTGTGTTCTGTGCTATCCGACTCAAAAAAGTCATATCAATTTCATCTTTCTATCAGAGCTGCCTTTATAAATGGGGCTCATCGGGTCACATATATATCCTTAATCTCTTGCGTCATTCGCTAGCTTTCTTAATCAACTCGCTGTCAACATCTTCAACGCACGACCTCAGGGCACAGCAAATTGGCAGTTCTTTGAAATATCAATCATTGAAGTAAACAATTTTAATTTCTACTTAATTTTGCCCATTGTGTAGGGAGGAGCCTGTCCTTGAATTTATATGTGACATGAATAAGTAAGAAGTGAGCTGAATGTTTACGACAGGGCTAAAGACAGGCTGCACAGAAATTATTTTCAAACACACTTTTTAATGTAGTTAATATGACAGATAATACACGATGTTGTTAAGGAAGCTCTTGAGCACAGCAGGAGGCTTAAGGTTCGCTTACTCAAGTATATTGGAAGCTCAAGCCACTAACTCAAAACTAATGAATTTCATGATATCATCGAAGCTAGGTGTCTCATAGTGATTATTTAGCTTGCCTTCTTTGTATGTATTCTATTTTAGGTCAGCTTAAGAATTGGAGCACTGTGCCTATCCCCACAGGGCTGCTACAGCTTAATGCAGCAGCCAAGCAACGTTCAACGTTTCCGTTTTAATCAACTAGGTGGGCGAACATCATTGACAGGACCTGCACTAATAAAACTTTATTGTCGCTGAGCAGTTGCTTTGGTCTCCCTGCAGCAGCTAGAGTTCATTTTATGGTGCTCTTCTGAGCAACAGCAATTTATAACGTTCTAATACCTAAAACTGTGGGCTGAGGCAAACACAAGTTGCAATTTGCATGTGTGTGTGCTTGCAAATGCCACATGCTCAACTAACACCTGTATATTGCATGCCTGAGATATCTAAGAACGCTCAAATTGAATAGCATTTTTATTCGAGACTTTTCTTTCTTATTGCAATCTTCACTTCCCTCTGAGCTTTCCCGTGCAACCAACTTGCCTGACAATATTTTCAATTGCCACAGATTGCGGGCTGGCGAGTTGCTAGCGGGCTGCTGAGGTAGTTATTAACTGAGCTCAGCTGGCTAAACACATTGTTTCGCTATTGTGATTGTGGTCAATTGTGCTTACCATTTGTTTGTGGCTTTGTTGTGTTGGCCACAGAAAAAGCGGCTGACATTTCGGATTTCAGCTTTCGGCGCGTAATAAAATTGAGGCTTTCATTTATTCGATTAATTTATTTGAATAGATATTATATTGGTTTACAACGTTACAACGCGCGTACGTTTCGCATAAAATGTGTTTTTTTTTCGAATTTATTGGTTATTGTTGTTAGTTGAATAACTTTAAAATTGAATTATCTTTTTGTTGTGTATGTTCGGGTATACGGGATGCTGTTTACACAGACACATAGAGAACTCTTTAGTATACATCGAAAGTTAAACAATTACGTACGGGTAACCATATGTATATTTTGTAATTATATTTTAATGCACATACATACATACATATGATTATATATATGTATATATATATGAGTTAATACACACATAAAACTTATCCAAAAGTTATTTGATATATAAAATGCATATCATTTACTAGACCTATGCCAACAGGTTTATTTCTGATTCTCATGCTCATTCAATTTCCATTTGCGGCTATAATTAAGTGCGATTGCTTATAAATCCATATACATTCTTACTATTTCCCAATCTACGTTATTTCGAGTATCCTAGGCTTGAGCAGTTCCCTTGAGCTCATTGGTTGCGCTTGCTATTGTCCTTGTCCTTGTCCTCGTGCTCGTCCTCCGTGCTGCATTCGCATCTTCTAAATAGTTTGCTGCTCGCGTGTCTCATGAGTTTCTCATGCGATTCGCATGCGTTTTTTCCAGCGTCGTCGCTTGTGGGGCGTTTAAAGTCGCGCTGCGCCTGGCCACATGTTGCGTGCTTGGACTTTGGCATAGTTGTCAATTGAGACGTTAATATTAATATGTTTTGCGTATTTGCCTTCGTGGCTGGTGTGGGTGTGTGTGTATGTGCGTGAGTGTGTCTGTCTGCAGCTGTTTGAGTGTGTGTGTGTGTTTGTGTGTATTTAGTTGTATGCAACATCAATAAAACATCAATAAAAATTTGTTAACAACACTTGTATAAAATCGCGATGTTACGACGGTTGGGTTACCCATAACTATACATATATATATGCATATATATATATATATATTTTTTTTTAATTTATGTAAATATGTATATAGAGCTTATATTGGTTTGATCATAACAACATTTAACAAACACACAAGGTAAACTTCTACTTATAGATGTGTTGCGGCATGAGGAATGATCCAAATTTTGTTGTTTTTTATTTTTCTAAAAACTTCACATCACAGCCAATGGGTACTGACGTTGGGATGTCTTCTCCTTCGATTAATATCGCTTTATCGCTCTGCTTCTATCTCTGACGATGCTCTCTGTTTCTAGCCCATTCGCCTCTGGTTGGGTGACATTGGATTCTAGATGTGACTCGTATGGATAATGTGGACATCGATGGACGACGGCGGTATAATGCTTCAACTTCTTCTCTTCATCCTGTTGTGTTGTTGTTGTTGTTGTGGTTGGCATCGGTGTGTGCCATGGCAATTAACAATTTGTCGATCTTTGTTATCCATCTGGGAAGTTGCCAGGTCCCAGCTGGAGCATGTCTCACTTGGGCTCCTCGAACTGCTGCCCAACAACTATGATAATGACGATGAACACCGCCAGGAGCACCAAGATGCAGCAAATGGCCACTGCCACCATAGCGCTGTTACTCATTTGGACGTCTAAGTAGCAATCGTCTTCCTCGACAGGAGCCTGTAGAGCTGTGCTGGGCTTAGGTGTTACGACGAGCCGCGTCTATTTTCCTTTTAATTGCTGTGTAAGATACAGGGATTTTTTATATTTCTCTGTGCTAGCCTTTCCCTTTTCCCTTTATGCCTTTTTTTCTAGTCTGTGCACAGTTGAGATCATCCGTGGGGATTTACCCAAGAGCTTTCCCAATGCCCAATTACTTGTCATAACATCCCGGCTCATGCCCTTTGATGGCATTGATATATGTGCTCACATGGCTGCGGGCGGACCAAAACAAATTGCGTACCATAAATTCCGAGGGCTGCCTATCAGTCGCTTGACTGTGCATAAAATGCCTCTGCTGAGGTTCCGGTTGCCCGGACTCCCAGTCCTAACAGTGTGCGCCGTGACAGCTTGTGGACAGCCCAAAACTTGTCATACGTCGCCGTTCGCATTGTGCAGATACAAATTTCACAGCCTGCGCGCGCGCGTGTGTATATATGTGTGTGTGTGTGTGTGCTTTTGGTCCCAGCACTTTATCAGGGGGCGCACAAGTGGAAATTTGCCAAAAATCACAACCAATAATAGTGAGTTCCTCGACTGACCCAAGGCGTCTATTAATGTCTCTGTCCCAATTTTCGTTTGTTTTTGGCATTCGCTCAGTGGAGCGCCAACATTGTTGAGTGTTGCACTTTCTGTCGACGGGAGGCCAATAGCAAGTGTCAATTTACCTGTCCAGTAGCTGATGCTGCTCTGCGAACAATAGCGCCTTTGACGACAACATACATAAACGGATGCTGCGCAACCAACCCTTTCGATAATTGACACAAAGTCGTTCGCTTAATTTCCCGCTGAGTGGACAGAGTGCACACAGCAGGAAAATTCAATTATCGCAAAGCAAAGCTTGACTAACTCTATTAAAAAACTATGTTAAAAGGATATTGTGAGTAGAAAAAGGAAACTAGTTGAAATGTGCAGAAATAATTCGATTATGAATCCACAAGCATTCAATCGTTCTCAGAACTTTAAAAGAATACCTAGGAAAACAAGTGTTTGTTAACTTCCCAGCAAAATTTATTTGAAAAAAAGATAGAACATAAACATATATAAATAGCCATATCAATAATTCTATGCCCTATGTGTGCTCAGCTTCAAGTGCTCGACTCAAATGAAAATGACGCTGACATTTGGGCAATGGGAAAAGACTCAAGCACAACAACAGAGACAACTGCAATACAAATAATCGAAAAGCGAAAGAGAAAAGTTTTTCACAGCGAGCAACGCTCGCTCGCCCTCCAAAGGTGAGTATAAAAACTAATGCAGCAGCAGCGCTGAATGGCCACAGCTGCTGAGTGTCGACGAAGAATAAAAATGAGGGAGAAAAATCATAAAATATATATATAAAGGAAGACAATGTTTTCAATTGAATATTTGGACAGGGCTATTGGCGCAGCGGCAGCTGGCCAACTCTCCTGACAGCCCTTGGAAAAATTTCGTATTTCAATTTCAAGCGACATTTAGCAAATCTTTCAGACTAGTTACATGTGTAATATTATGGACTGCTTTCATATACATTCGTATGCATACAAATCTAACTTATTCAAGATTTGATTAAGCAATTTGCGAGCCTTCGGACTGAACCTCCGACGCGGCAGCCGCTCCTATTAACATATTTTTGCGTTATTTTATTTCCCTTTGCTGGACTCTGGTTTAATGCCCAACCTTATTAATGTGTTTGCCCAGCCCCAAAAAAATTTGTTGTTTTGGGCTCCTTTTTGTGAAATATTCTAAATAAACCAGGTATATTTTAATCCTGTTCGTTTTTTGTTATTTTTTTGTTCTCCCTTTTGAATTGGTCAATTAATATTAATGAAACGGCAGCAACTGCCTCAACTAAATGCGCCCTGCGGCGTGGTAAGTGTAGCAGGACATAATTTATGCTCCACTGTCAGTTCGCGCGCTGTGGCCCGAAAAATTTCAAATTCTACTACGTCATAAAGCCAAATATGTCATAAAACGGGCAAGGACAGGCGGCCAGAGTGTTTGCCAGAGTCGATTATTTTGCAATAAGTCAATTTATCAGCTTATTTGCAGCTTACACTGGTTAAACAAGCAGCGAGACAGGCACAGAGACAGACGTGTACGTGTAGGGGAAAATACAAAATGCTAAATAGAACGACAGGCAGGCAGTGCGTATACGTAACGTATTGGAAGTTTCTGTTGTTGTTGCTGGCATTTAATGACAAGCGATAATAAACCTAAAAGTGATTCATACTTTGTTTTTGTGCCGAAATAGTCGAATATCTGGGGCAGAGTGGAGGGCACTTCAAAGACTTACAGCACATTTTGCTGACACATATCGCCTGTCGGTTTCCCTACGGATCTTAATTAAATTAGCGCCTTCCTTGGCAACAATAACAACAGCAGCAGCAGCAGCTGGCTTTGAAGGCAGCGCGCCACAATAGGACATGGCGGCCAGACAACGCCCAAGTGACAGCGCGTCACCCACTAGACACAAGGAAAAAAAACGAAAAAATAATAATAATAAATAAAACAATACACACCACGTTTCTCCGATTCCCGAGTGAGCAAAACAAAAAATACATTTTGCAATTTCGTAAGTTTTATGCGAACATTTGCAGAAATTTGTTTATGCTGGCTGAATGCGTGTGGGGCAAGTCGCCGCAAATGGAGCCGGAGTCCGGAATATTGAGGCCCAGGCAATGTCTGATGGTGCGTAGCCATCGACATCATCAGCTGCGGGTGACGTTAGCGAATTTTTCAAGCCAACATGAATTCCATTTTGTGGAAAAAGGACTTTAAGTAAGCAAAAACCAGAATCAAGCTAGAGAAAATTGCATTGGCGCATTGTGAATGCCGCTTAATTGCTGGCATATTAAAGAGGCACAGCTTTTGGGGCAAGTTCAGCGGTAGCCGACCTTGAGGCAGTGCCGCCAAGTGCAGTGCCCAATGGGCGGCTCAGCGACTGTAGACTAGCAATGGCCGCCATAAATGCTTTGAAGTGCTTCAAGATTGTCCTCTGTGTTGTTGTTCTTGTTGTTGTTGTAGTCGCTGCAGCAGCAGCTGTTGTCTTGCAATGTCAAAAGTCAAAAGTGCATTAAAATAATTGCACTTGTTTAGTCAGGACTAAAGCAGAACTGCCAGCTGTAGGCAGTCAGCGAGCATTTGTGATTTTTAAAACACAGGTGTACGTGTTGGTGTGTGTTCCTGCAAGTCACTGTGTGTGTGTGCGTGTGTGTGTGGGTGTGGTTGTGCCCGTGCCAACCATAAGTATTTCCGCAACTGACTACACTTAAGCTAGATCTCGGCAAAAATCTTTTGTCTTAGGTTTTAAGCGCACGTCTGCCGTTTAATGTTGAAGAGCGACAAAGAGAGGAATGCAAAGAGAGAGAGGGAGAGAAGGAGACTGCGGCGCAAAGGCCACGGTGTTCCTTGTCCTACACTACCTCCACTTGCCAACAGCATTGTCCTGTCCTGTTGCATGCTTCGCATTCATGTTAGCTTTATGCGGATGCTTTAAAGATTACGCAAATGTGACACAAAGGCATTTTTTTATGTTTCAAAAGATATCGCTGTATGCCAGGACAACGAGAATGTCCTGGCCGCTTTGTAAGCCAATGCGGGCGCCCAACGAAGATTGATGAAATTCTCGGCTAAATGACATTCTCACTTAAGTATCAGACACTACTGACTGCTCGCTTTCAGTCGCACAATTGGTTGTCATCGAAGCAAGTGACATGCTGGGATGCTGCTCGACTAGGGCATACCCTGTACATCACTCTTAATATTATTGTTTCCTTGCTGTTTGAAAAGAGCCCAATTAAGATTAATACTTTACTTTAATAACTTCTCAGTCAGCAAGATAAATAGGCAACGTTACTTATAAGGTAATTGTGCCATTTATGCATCTTCCTGGACAGCAAGACAGAGTATATATATCCCTCTATTGGGCCTATAGCATATTGCTATAATTGATTTCTAGTCAAAATTTATCTGAGCCAAGGCAAAAGTTAATTTTAAATAAGAATTTAGAATCTGTGTGAGATTCGACTTAATATATCTGTAAGTTATGTAGAGTCTGTGATACCGTTTATTTAATTTGTATAGGGTATAGCTGTGCATATTTCATTTGACAGATTTAATTTGCAAAAATATTGAAATGCAAATGAACTGTAAGTCACTTGCTGTTACATATGCATGATTAAATTTAAAATCAATTTGGCCTGACTACTGATTGGTATCAATGATAGCTTTGGGGTAAATTTATTTATTTAATGCAAGTTAAATGAAATTAATATAAATCGAAGCTCATCCACTTGATTGACACGTTATTACTGCCATAATGCTATGCTTACACTATTAATATTTAATGTGGCCAGAAACTTTTTGGACCAGACACATTAACGTCTTTCATTGATATCGACGCAACATGGCTTCAATTTTTGCCAATTGCGAAACAAACTTATTTGCCATACTGTTCGGCACGTTGTGCTCTGCAATTGATTGAACTGCTGCAGGTAAGTAAAGGTGGCTGAGGCATCTTATGGGCTAATTGATTGGGTTGCCTGAATACTAAATATAGAGGCAACGGCATTCGCTAATAAATATGTAAGCAATTCCAAAATATGCTGAATTTTAATATTATAAATCAGAGTCTGATATGTTTTGATGTCGACAATACAGACAGATAAATTTCAATTGTGAGGTATGACACAGCCGAGAAATATGCGAAATAATAAATGTTTTATTCAAAATTCTTTAAATTCTCCGATTGTTTTCCCTTCATTTACATAACATGCTGTTTAGCTTGACGTATACTTAATGTTTGCCGTTTGGCCTTTAACCTGTTTTCAATTACGCCGTTATTTGAGCTACTCACATTTAACAAATTGTGTGCACTTTAATTAGGAGTCTCAGCATCCTGCTGGCAGTCACTTAGCAAATTCTTAAAATTGTGAGAGCACATCGGAAGCTGAAGTGGGTACAGGGGCCTATTACGTTTTAATCAGAGAACTCATTAACGCCGTCTACAAGCGAAATATAATTTAGAGTAGTGGGAGTGTCCAGCCGCCCATCAGCTGAAACTGAAAGTGACAGTGGCACAGCCAGTGGCATGCTGTGCGCTGGCTGCTAAACTTTGTTGGCTAAAAAGTTTCTTGCCTGACAGGCATCAAGTTGATGTAATGAAAAAGTTGCAATATTTTTCTATATTTTTCATATCACATGACAGCGCCAGCAAGTGTTTCAACTGGGCCAACTGGCCGGAAATTTGCACTGGCAAAGAGCAGGAAGAACCACAATAGGACCGAGGGACCGTGCAGAAAAGGAAAATATATAAAAACAAAAACGTTTTTACTCATGAGCTGCAAAGGCTAATTAATTTCGGGTTGGTGGTTTCACAAGTTACGCATACGCAACGTGCGCCCAATGCCAATAGGCAAAATTAAAATAATTTCCTTTTCTTTCCTTCGCCAGCAAATAGTAATGAAAAAGCGCAGCGCGCCGGAAATAATCACACAAAAAAACCAAGCGGAAACTTTGCCACGGCCACACCCTCCAGGCGGCCAAACGCCCAATGCTTAGCATACTTCTTTGCTTTTTATGAAGCAAGAAATTCGCTAAATACGGCCAGGCATATGACCAAAGGCGCGCTTGTGCATGTGGGCGTGGCAAGAAAGAGTTTCATGAGTCTGCATAAAAGTTAAACGAGTGCAGCTTATTATGAAATATATGTGTATAGTTCGTCAACGATAGCCGAGGTTGGCAGCTGAAGAGCGCTGGAGGCGGGATTTCCTGGCCAAAAAGCAATTTTAACGATGCACACAAAAACCCTGCGACAGCAAATGAATAAATAATTTATGCGTAAGACCCTCAGACAGGCCTCAGAGTCAGGCATCATTTATAGTCGTCGTCACTCAGCCTGTTCTTTTTAACATTTACCACACGTAGCAACTTTTATCTCTCCATTAGCTGCACAACCAGCAAGCGGCAGGTGAAGGTGGCACCCAGAAGTTGGCAAAATAAGCAAAAGCTGGCAGCAGTTGGAAGTCTCTCTGCTCAGGCCAAAGGGTTGAGGTTATCACTTTGATATGATGTTTGCTTATCACCTGGCCGACTATACAAACGGCGCCAAGCTCAAACGCAAAACAACCAACGATAGGCTATTGATTGACTTTTTGCACAGTTGGCACGTTTCAATCTTTGCAACGATTGGCAAATTGCTCTGGTGGGGACCCACGCCTCGTATCCTGATCTCCAACTGGCGGCACCCTATGCCCAAATCGGTGTCTGTCTCTTGTTGTTGCTCAAGCATATTAATTAGTTGTTTAAGAACCGTTATCAAAACTGCTGCTAGTCGCCTGTCAGCAGCAGTCAGCCGTCGCTGACAGGCATTTGCAATTAGATAAGAGTCAATTACCGTCTGACTGGACACCAGTGCTGCGCCAGCTGTAAAACAATTTTACAATTCACATTGCGTTAGCTTTGTCCACTTTACAAGTCCCATAACAATTGTCCTCAGCCCATCCAAGCTACTTCGCAATCGCTCGCTCGCATGTGTGCGTTTCCATTGTGAGAAGGACAAACAAATGGAAATCAGTGACAACAATGGATAAATCTGACTGAAACAACTAATATAAGTATTCTTCAAGTGCAATCATTTATGCATTTTAAGCATTGAGTCGGACATCGAATCGAATGGCAGACGGAATTAGTTCCATTTGAAGCGCCCTTCAGATTGTGTGTGCATATGATTAAATGTGTTCATTAAATAGATAACAATATAAATGTTAAGTAAAATCCCTTTTTAATGATCTATCACAGAACTTTGCAATCTCTCTTTAGTTGCTTTAGCTCATTTCAAGTTCTCATCTTAACTCCACCCCTCGTATCTCAAATGTGCACAGAATAGACCCATTCTTATTTTAAATACTTTTCAATTTACATTTAAATATATTTACGCTTTATTTGCGCAAGTCCTTGGCAAATACACGATGTCCTGTATCAGTTTATTGTATGGTTTAAGCTCTTCTTCTCAATCTTATGGTCGTTAGCGCGCGTTAAAGGCAGTTGACAAAAAGAACGCGAAAAGTGCACACAAAAGAAAATGCGTAAGAAAATTAGATTTAAATCTGCAACATAAAAAGACACGGAAGCGTTTAAAAATAGCGACGCACGACTTTAAGCAATCTCTTCTTAGTTGAAGCGACTCTTCCGAAACACGTATCAAAAGTAACAGTTAAGCTGCTGCTGAAGCTTGTCACACGACACGACTTGTCAGATGACTCTGGCTGTTAGCGCTGCTGCTGTTAGTACTGCTGCTGCTGTTGCTGCTCCTGAAGCGTGGGCTGAAGCGACTTGCGTGCCTGGCCGACTGTCATCGACTGAGTTGATTCGTGCACTGGCAACGCCATATAAAGCAATCTGAGAGCCGAGCGCGCAAGAGAGAGCATGAAAGTTGATGATTTATATATGTATGTGTGGGTGTGTGTGTCTGTGTGCTAGCAAGGACTGAGGACAGAGGACCGAGGACTGAGTAAGCGAAAGCTTTTGCCATAACTTTGCCTGCTTGGCTGCTGTTCGACAATCGCATGAACGCAACTCACATTCAATAAATCTTGAATCAAATTGAATTTATGATTCTTTTATTACTTTTTTTTCGCCCAGCATATTCGCTTTAGGGACTTGACTTCTTCCTTCCGCACACACTTGCGCTGCTTACAGCTTCTGTTTGGCTTGCGCTTTAGCTTTCTTAGACAGAATCTGTAAGCTGTTTATTTTGTATTTGCGTTACGATTGCTCAGCAAGTGCTTATTTCGTTTGTTTCGTCTGCTCTGTCTTAGTAAGTCGACAAGTTGCCACTTGACACGGCACAGCTCTACTGCATTGCATAGATGTTCAATGTTAAGTTTTGCTTTCATTATCTGGCAAATTAGAGAAAATCCATTATGCTGCCAATACACGTATAGTCAGCAGTTTCTGCGCGCCAAACAATGGCTGCATTACCCAATAAACAATTTCTATGGACGCTGATAAACGCCGGACGTGATAAGGCGGCCATTCGCACTGCGCAGGCGTGAGCTTTAAGAGAGCGGCCGTAACTGGCTCAACTGATAAGACAGTAACGAGCCAGCCAGCCAGCCGCAAGCCAGGCAGACGCCAGAATTTACTTAAATCGCTGCTCGAATGCGGCTAGCGATAATAATAAGGGACATTTAAGGAATTGTCATTGATTTCCTTTTGTTTGCCTTTATATTGATGCTTTTTTTTGTTCTTCTTTTGGCTTTGGTACATTAGGCAATTGTTAAGCGTCACCCACAGCGCGCCAAGCCGCTAATGTGAGCTGAGGATCGCAAATTGAATTTTCTTAAGCAGCTGTTTACCCTGCTACATTGTCTTAAATAATTATGTTCGCGTTTAATTAATAAGTTTGCCGCACGCCAACAACAACAACAAAGGCCGGCAAGCAAATTGCCAAAACAGAAAAAAAAGGTCCCAGCCTATTGTCTGTGTGACCCAAACTTTATAATAAAGTTGTCTTTAATTATCTGTACACAAGTGAAAAAACGAGTCGATTGGGTTGCAGCATGAACAAGAACCGATAAATATATATATATATAATATATTATTGATAGGTGTGAATATATATATATATATTAGCATAATTATTATTTTTGTTATCATTATTATTATTATTATTATTATTTTTATTATTATTATTATTATTATTATTTTCATTATTATTATTATTATTATTATTATTATTATTATTTTCATTATTATAATTATCATTATTATTATTATTATTATTTTCATTTTTATTATTATTATTATTATTATTATTCTTAGTATTAGTTTTATTAATTACATAAATATCCAAATATAATACACGAAAATCAGACTTAATTTATCGCAGAGTAGGGCTAGAGGTATACAGCTCATAAGCCAGTTTTTACCCTTCTGAGCTTAGACAAGTTAGTTTTAGTTTTTGAGCATGATTACAGGGCATGTGCTAAACGAACTTATTTGATTTTTATTTTTGAAAAATGAGCAGCCTCAACGCAGGGCAAAAAAAGATGTTAAAAAGTTGACGCAAGTCCTGGGGCAAGGTCTGCTTTGGTTGGTCATTAAATTCGTGACCTTTTTTGTGTTATTTCGTTTCGTTTCATTTATTTTTTTTTTCACCATGTCGATATAAATAATGAGCTCCAGGTCACTATTGTTTCAGTGTGTGGGGTCAATTTGCAAATATTGTGAAATGTATTTAGGCAGCGCTTAAAAGTATGCTATCATTTATTCGTATATTTATTTATTTATTCAAGCGGCATTTTGGTCGCCCTAACGCAATAACACTTCACTTGATTGGCACTCAAAGGACGTTTGCCAAGAACAAAGAGCTGCGGTAAACACCAAATTTGGCCTTAATTAGTGTAGTGTAAGTTGTTGTTATTGGCCAAAGAGCAAATGTGTAAAGTTTGTTAGCCTAATTAAGTGAACAGGCCTCGGGACTCACCTGCATAGAACAAAGGTAGCAAGTTGAAGACAATGACAAGCGGAAATACAGTGCGTGCAAATTTTTGCATATCCATAAAGAATTTGACAGTCCGTGAGCCCTGGGCAATGGCAGCGACATTGTTTGTGCAGTGTTGATAGAGTTTTCGTTGTTTTGTTGTTGTTGTTGTTGTTGTTGTTGCTGTGCCTGCTGTCTGTGTTGCTGTTGTAGAGTCTTGACCTTGGCCGAGTTTGTTTTTGGAAGATAAGCGTGATTGTATTGCTGGCTTGTATTTGTTGGCTGTCGCTGTTGCAGCTCGTGTATTTCTGTTGTTGTCGGGGGCAGCCTGTATAGAATGCCCAACAGCAGCAGTGGCAGCCACACCTGCAACAGCCATGCGTTGCCATCCCGTACCGCCAGCGCCAATATCGTCGCGGCCGTCATTGCCATTAGCACCATATGAACATGGAACAGGATATTGCTGATGCGACTGCTGTTGCTCAGACTCCTGGCCAACATGCTGTAACATTCTGTTGTTCCTGTTGTTGTTGTTGTTGCTTCTGCTACGGCTGCTGCTGATAGCGATCTCATATATTGTCCATAACCAATTTGACGCACCTTTCTTACATCCGCTCGTTTGTACATCATCTGATGATGCTGCTGCTGCTGGCGCTGGGGCTGTGGCTGCCCCGAGTGTTGCTGCTGCAAAAACCTGCCATGTTGCGGTTGTTGTTGTTGTTGTCGCTGCTTCCAATTCACTTTGTGTTGCTGTGTGACACACAAACGTTTCGCTTTCAAATTGCTTCCGTTTGCTGCTGTTGTTGACCGTGTGTTGCTCTTGTTGTTGTTGTTGTTGTTGCTGGTGTTGTTGTAAGAGTTGGCTTGTTGTGGAAGAAGGAGATTTGTTTGTTGTTGTTGTTGTTGGTGTGTTATAGAAATGTCGTATCTGTGCTGAGGCCATGTTGTGCCCTGAAAATGGAAAAAGCAGAAAACATAATATGTTAAAAAGATGTCACAAATAAAACAGAGTCCTTTAACCCCGGGCCGAGAAAACGAGTCCAATGCAAACAAATGATATGCACACACACACATATATATATATATATATATATAAATTGACCAATACCCAAATTACATTGATGGAAGTTTTATGGGCTTGGTCCAGAAACAGCCTGAATCTGTTTGGCTTTAGATAATCGATTCTCTTGCTATTTAGAGGGGAGTTCCTCGGCTCGTGTTGCAAGGATTAAGAGTTCCGCAAAAACATTCCACGGTCTGTGTATTTAGGCTATCGGCTGCTGCCATCTGCGCTACTTTTTAATCAATTTCCACTGGCGTTTGCCGGCGGGACAATCCTTTGACGTTTTGTTAACCAAACTCAAATGAGGGTCCATTCGTTATTCTTTTCTTCCTTTTATTTGCAATTGCCAACGGCTTCTTTTTATGTGCGATTTAAAGCTCATCTTATTAAATCGATTTAATAGCTTTTTTATACACAAATTCCAAATTGCATTCAGCAGAGCTGTGCGTGGGAGCGTGTGGCTACCGCATTTGACGTCTCATCGTATTACAGGTTTCTTTCTCCTCCCATGACACTGGCTTTACAACTGTTGCGAATATGAAGGGGCAATTCTTCATTATTATTTGAATTGTGAGTAAGGGTGGGAGGAGTGGGAGTAATACCTGAAGCTACTGTTTCAAACATTCCTTTATGCGTGAACACAGGTAAACTATTCTCGTTGCCATAACTACAGTATTTACTGTGGAATCTTAATGAAATTTATGTGATATGAATATTCATGTAATATTCACTCTCCATGTATGCATCCTGTCTTTATTGCTTTTCAGCTGAAGTAGCTGCGGCTCAACTGTGGTATTAAAAATCATTCATCTCAATAGCTTTCAAGCGTTTTAATTAACCAACAAGTTGGATGAGATATGCAAAACATGCACCAAAAAAAATTCGAAAAGCACTTTTGAATATCCTGAGTCGATTTCATCTGTATTACTCTAGCATGAAGTGTCTATTTGACTTTTACATCATTTGTATTTTTTGACCTGGGTAACTTTAAATAAACCTCAATAATAAATCAAATTGTCTTAAAAGTCTGTTGGCTTCGTTCTAGCCTTAACAGGAGCCCTTAACATGTAATGTTATTTCTGGGATATTCTGTCTGTTATTGTGCAGCATGAAAGCTCTTGAAGGCTTGACACGAAAAGCTGTTAGTTGAGTTTTACACACATTTTCGCGTGGGAACTTGCGAAAGCTCTTCCACTGTTATTTTTGTGACAGCTTTTTGTATTTGCTGCAACTGTGCTGTTAAGCAGAGAGCTTTTAGAACATGTTAAGAGCCCATAACTAATGTTGGCATCATAACGCGTTCGCTGTGAATAATAATAAATTATCGTCGAGTGCAATAGATTAGCTTGGCCAGCACGCCACGCCCACATTCTTAGGTCGCAACACATACATCAAATTCACATGGCCAACAAAACCCGACCGATGTCAATAACAGACGAAACACTGAATAAAACTCATTTGTTCATTTTCACTATTGTCTGGGGGTTATCTAACACAAAATGGCTGTGTGTGTGTGTGTGTGTGTGTGTGTGCAGAGTTGTCCACGCGTCGATTACAGACGCTGATAATAAAGTAAAAATTGCAACAATGAACGCATAGTTGTCATTGTCATGTTCAGCTGATGGTAAACAGACATTGCCACAAAACAGCAGCCGCAACAGCAGCAACACCAACAGCACTGGGCACAACGCCCACACGTAACACGAACGCATAAAGTGCTCGTAATCAACGTAAAATTCCAAGCCACAAACACACGCAGACACAGACACAGACGCACACGCACACGCACATGTCACTT